ACACACCCCCACACACACACACACACACACACACACACACACACACTCCAGTGGACGAGCGCAAGCTGCTGGCCCTTTAAGTGCTGGATCTCACAGCCTACAGCCAGGGGAGGAGAAGAGGAGGGACAGAGGCACAGAAACGGAGAGAGAGAGAAAGAAAGAGAGAGAAACAGAGAGAGAGAGAGAGTGAGAGAGAGAGAGAGAGTGAGAGAGCGGGCGACTCAGCAGTGTGTGTGAAGGATCACTCCTATCCCGTCTTGTTGTGAGGGGAGACCTACCGAAACCCGTGTCCAGTTGAGCATTTTGTGGGACTTGTTTTATGTTGTTGTTGTCGAGAGAGACTCACTCCTATCCCGTCTTGTTGTGAGGGGAGACCTACCGAAACCCGTGTCCAGTTGAGCATTTTGTGGGACTTGTTTTATGTTGTTGTTGTCGAGAGAGACGGACCCTTACTCCAGCATGCTCACTGAGCCTGAGCTACCTCAGGAGTGTAACAGGTACGTGCCGACTCCCTCAACGCGCACACAGACACACACGCGTTCCGCGCGGATGAGTGACATGCGGGGACGTAGTGTAAACTGAAGCCGAAAGGGGTTTCCGGATTGACAATGTGTCAAAATGCAGAAATGAAGGTGGTATAGTGAGTTCTTCGGAGACAAAGTGCTTCAAAGAAAAAAACAAAAACAAACAAAAACAAAAAAAAAAAACGGTTTGTGTGCGCGAGATAAACACCGAGATGTGTGTGCGTGCATGCGTGCGCGTGTGTGTGAGTGTGTGGCCGCCCTCATCATCTCGCCTCCACTTTCATCACTTTATTTACATCTCACTTCCCCTCTTTAGGCCGGCGTGCGCGCCGGCGCACGCGCTTCTTGTAAAAGCTCGCCGCACTTATCGCAACTATGACTTTCCTGCGCTTTGAGTTTTGAACAAGCAACTTGAAACGCTCCGATATTATTATTTTTTTAATTTCTCCACCCGTTGATTTTCCACCTGATGCCGCTTTTGTCATCCCGTCGTCCTGCGCCCTTCGTTTTTCCTCCCCGAGCGTGTTGGTCTCGCCACCTTTTGCCGCCCTGTCAACACGAGCGCAAGAAGGCTGCCGCGAAGGCCGGATTATATTCGGGTATTATAATACCCGCCGTTTTGACACACACACACACACACCTCACCCTCTGTCCCCTCCGCTTGACTTTTATAGCATTACTAAGTCTCCGTCTGTTTTGGCCTCATGAGACTAATCTTTTGTTCGCAGATAAACAGTAGTCGAGAGGAGGCGGCGGAGGAGGAGGCCCCCTCGAATTAAAAACACATTTAGATGACGGTTCAGCGTTTCCCCAAAAAAAAAAAAAAGTGTTTTTTTTTTTTTTAATAATAATCATCAAATCCGGGCAAAGTGATTGAGAGGCGGGCGAGGGAAATATAACAACGGCGACGGGAAGGAATTAAAAATTTAAAGGATTAAAGCGGGGAAAAGCGGAATGTATGGAGATAACGGGCGGGGATTACAATGATTTAAGTGGGGAGCACTTTAAAACTCTTTGCATTCCAGTAATGCACTCCATCACTGCACGGCCATGTGTGTGTGTGTGTGTGTGTGTGTGTGTGTGTGTGTGTGTGTGTGTGTGTTCATATGTATGCAAGAGTCAGCATGGGGATATCTCCCACTCTGTGGGTGTGTGTGTGTGTGTCTGGTCGGGACTCGTCAAGGTGTGTGTGTGCGCGCTGCAGCCCGGCGATGCTCTCGGTTCCCGCGTCTCTGGAAGTGACTTCATCTTTTCCCTCACGCTTCCTCCTCTTTTGACTTTTACGCTCGCCATTTCTGCGCGTCTTTTTTTTTTTCCGTTGGAAATCGAGATGGCGAAGCCGGAGGTTAGCGGGAATGTAGTTTTTTTTTTTTTTTCAGGGAGGGAAGGGGTAAAAGTTTTTGAAGGCTGCTTAAAAAGTTATAACAAGCAAAAAAAAAAAAAAATGGAGAAATAAAATAAAAAGTGGCCAAATTGACACATTCCTCTGTGATGGAGAGAAGAAAAGGTAGAAAACGGGTGGAAGGGGAAAGGGGGGGGGGGGGGACAGAAA